AAAGGTGTTTTAAATTCAAAGAGTAAATAAGTAAATAAAATACGAATGATGCGATGCATGATATAAAAATCATAGCCAGTGAAATATTCGTCATAAAAAAAGCACTTCTGGCAAAAAGTTGTTCATAAATTAAACTTATCATTGGATTTTCCTCGAAAACATTTTTGCTCTCGAGATGCATGTTAGATTTTTCAGTATCTATTGAAAATTTTCTACAACACTAAGTTTGTTTATTTAAATGTTTTGAAAACTTATATCAGATTCGCTTTTTGGTATATTTCATGCTTTTTGATCTGAAGTGCTGCGACGAATAGTGCAGTTATTACTTCCTTTCAGTTTGTCAGTGAATGCTGTCTCTGAAAGAGCTCGTAGTTTATTAAAAGCGATGTACATTGTAAATAAAATTTTGTAAATGCTAGATTCTTAAACTTAATATTTTTTCACTCTTTTAGTTCTACATTACTTAAAATAAAAAATAAAATCTGAATATATTTTTTCTCTTTATCTTGAAAAGCTTTCTATTCATCATAAAACTTTATATTTTTTAAAGAAAAGTATTTGTATTATAAATGTAAGATTGTGTACAGGGTGTTCAATTAGCACCGTCTCATATATTTCTAGAACCTCTGTATGTAATTCAGGATAACATCCGATCTATTTGAAGAATATTTAATGTTGAATACCGAAATTAAAAACAAAATATAACGAATTTTTAAGTTGTGATTTTGTTGCTTTGCCTTTTCTAATTATACTAACGGATAGAAATTATTTGAATAAAGCTAAGTATGAATAAAGCACAAACAAAAGTACAGAAAAGGATATACTACAGTTTTGGTTCTATAGAATACTGTACATACATATACGGTTTTAGAATCGAAACTATAATTGCAACCAATTCTTTACTTTATTCACATTGTTTTCCTTTATTCTACGTAGCACAAATTATATACTATCTTCTTTTTTTGAGAAATTTAATGATTCGTTATTCGATTTTATCCGATAAAAAATAAATTGGCACTCGATTTTATCCGATATAAATAATATAGCTTTTGATTTTATATAGTATAAATAGCTTGACTTTCGATTATAACCGATCAATAGTTTGACTTTGCCGTTTTAAATTTGACCTTTACAAAAACAACTTTAATAGATATTTATTACTGACCTTATAAATAATCATTTGTGACCTTACCAACACTGCGCTGAATAACTTATTTATAACAAGGATTTTATAAGGACTTAACAGCATTCATACTTCTCCAATTTGCATTCAAAATTATGTTATATTTTATATCGGCATCATTATGGATCTGCAATTAACATATTTTTCATATTGGATTGTACAATAATGCCAATATTAAATATATATCTTGATGATATTACTAGAATATTACAATGCATGATATTAACCTATAGGTAGGATATTTGCGTTCCTTGGGTATGGTTAAAACACTTCATTAACCTATGAATTTGATATCTTAAATTGTACGCAATGCAATGTTTGGTATATTGCACTTATAGTTATGGCACGCAAAGCTGTCTGGATACCTGAGTCAAACTCTCATCTATTAAATGCTCCTGAAAAATGAAGTCACTAAAATGTCACTAAAATTGTAGGGGGAAAAAAGCAAATTCAACTTTTATTGAGAGTCCATATGTTAAATTTTTTTTAAAGTTACGCAAATAAAAGTTTTTCTAACGAAAAAAAAATTTTTTTTTCAAAATATTCATATTTTTTTTTTTTTTTACTTATGCAAAGGATATTTAAATTTCAATGATTAAAATTTCATTTTCATTACTTAAATTTGTTCGACAATCATATTTGGTTCTATACAAAATATTTTACTTCAGCCAAATATTTACCTGGTACAAAATTTATACTAAATTCATACTGCTGTTGTTGTAGTTCATTTACGTCGCACTAGAGCTGCACAATGGGCTATTGGCGACGGTCTGGGAAGCATCCCTGATGATGATCCGAAGGCATGCCATCTCAATTTTGATCCTCTGCAAAGGGGATGGCACCCCCGCTTCGGTAGCCCGACGACCTGCACGCGAAGTCGAGCACTTTACGGTAGAACAGTTTAACGAGGACCAATACCGCACACCCTCGGTCCCTATGCAGACTAATCCAATTGGTCACCCACCCGCACACTGACCTTAGCCAGTGATGCTTGACTTCGGTGATCTGCTGGGAACCGTGTCTTAAGGATCAGTCCACTGCGGGACCTAAATTCATACTAATTTATACAAAATTTATACTAAGTTCATAAATTCATACTAAATAGTAATAGATATAAGGTTTTAGAGCCTTAAGTCGTCAACTGGATGCCTCTTTTATTTGGTTGACGGGGTCGTAACCCTCTCCCCTTCTCTGCTAGCCACTGTTTTAGAGTGTGACCCTTTTGATGCAAGGTAAATTTTAGTTTGAAAATTTCATATTAAACGTGATATGTATGAACTCAGTCCATTAACTTGAGTTCTATTTTACCCGAGTTAAAATAAAAATTGTAGTTCGTGTTAAAAGTAGAGGAATGATTCATAATTGGAAAACTTGTTGCTGTTGTAGTTCATTTACGTCGCACTAGTGCTGCACAATGGGCTATTGGCGACGGTCTGGGAAACATCCCTGAGGATGTTCCGAAGACATGCCATCACAATTTTGATCTTGTGCAGAGGGGATGGCACCCCCGCTTCGGAAGCCCGACGACCTGCACGCGAAGTCGAGCACTTTACGATAGAACAATTTACGAGGACCAATACTGGACACCCTTGGTCCCTATGCAGACTGAACCAAGTGGTCACCCACCCGCACACTGATCGCAGCCAGTGATGCTAGGAACCGTGTCTTAACGATCAGTCCACTACGGGACAAATCTTGTGTAAGAAAGGCTATAGGAAGAAAGGCCGGGTAGAAATAGGCAACTAAATACGTACTTAATGAACAAAAAAGAAGTATAAGACAGCCTGCGTAAGAGAGATAAAAATGAACTTAGGAAAATATAAGCATACTTGTTATGATATATATGTTAAAACTACAAAAATGGTTTTTGCGGCTACAGCTACTCATAAGAATTATAATGATGTTAGAAGTATTTTTATTAGAAAAAGAATTAGCATTTTCGATTTTTCTACATGGCTAAAGCATCTCAATAACGCCAAGAAAAAATAATGTAAAATAATAATTCTGACGTTTTTTTCTTATGTATTTTATTTTTAGTATTGTTTTTAATTGTATTGCTTAATTTTAAATAGCACATAAATATAATCTTACAAGAAAATATATGTAAGCAATAGTAGAACGTTTAGTTAATAGGTTGAAATAATTCAATGATTAAAAGGCAGACATTAATGATGAATGGATCTACAACATATAAATAGTTCTAATGAAAAATTCCCCTCTAATGCAATAAATATAATTTAAAATTAACGAAAATTATTCTGTTCACTACAATGACATCTCTTTGCACAATCTTCTAGTGGTGCCATCTGTCGTCAATATGTAATATCTCTGTATTTAGAATGAAAAAAAAAAATTCATTTAGTAATAAAAATCAGATTATTTAATGAATCTATAACACTTGTTATTTATTTTCTAACTATATTTTGTTTTAATTATTATGTGTTTTTAATACACGCTCTTCATCACAATAACTTAAACCACCGAATCTAAATTCTATGAAACATCTTCACAAGAGTATTGCTTCTTCAATACAGTATTTGCAATGCTAAAATATTTAAATCTATATAGTTGGATAAAAATTTATTTTTACTAACTTCTTTCATTATTAAAACAGTTTAAATTAAATTATACAAATTTTATCTGTAGATAAATTCAATCTTTAAAAATAAATACCATGCTATACAAATTATTTAAGAAAGCTAATTTTAATGTCTTTCTTAAAATTCATTCTGAAAGTTAGCACAAGCTTTTTTTTTTTTTTTAAATAAAAAAAAACAAGCTTTTTGTTTTTTACCCACTTTTTTATCAAAAAAAAATTTGACTTTTACTATTGAATTTAATTAGACATTAAGCCAGTTCTTTTTTAAATAATTTTTCAGCTATTGATAAAAGGTTTAAATATTTGAGCTTGAGTTGTAAAGATTATTATTTTTTTTGTGTAAAAAACATTAACAGAGATTTTGTCCCCATTTTAACCTTTAGTAACAACAGCCTTTAATTTAATTTAAATTCTCAAATTATATTCAATAAGGCATGATTTATATGGCAAATTATATTTGTCATATAAATCAAGTCCTATAAAATCTTAAAATTTCAATATTAAGAAAAAAATTATTTGACTTTAACTATGTTTATTATTTAAATTTTAATAAATATTTTTATCAAGTAATATTAAAAAAAAAAAACTGTATGTTAAATATATGATTTTAAAAGCAAATTTATGAGTTGTTTATTTTATATTTAATTTGGAATTTGCAAAGAATCAAACCAGGTTTGGAAGTGTAGCTGTTTTTATCAAAACTAGTAGTAATTAATTCTTCACAATTATTATCAGAAAAAGCATTTCTTTTTTAGTATTGAAATTTAAGCGTTTAACAGATATTTTCTAACATTTTAATAATTGTTTGATTTATATTTAGAATTAGATGAAACTCTATTTTAAAAAAAAGTGGTGTAAGGAAAAATATCCAAAACTATTTTAAAATTTATAAACATTTATAGGTTTTTCTAAAATTTTATAATAAAAAATGTTTTATACATGATGTGATTTCCACAAATCTCTAAGGCCACAAATAGTACAATAATCTAATGCTTGTAACTTATATTAAAATAAATAAAATAATGCTTATTACTTATATATTGTAACTTACATAAAACACAACCATAGTGTCTGTTATAACAATTGTAGTTGCACACAGTGTTTGCTCATATCATATTGTTCTGATCATATTTTTGTTTTTTTAATTTTGGATTAGATATTTTAGAAAACAAAAGCTTTTTACATTTCTTTTAAAATTTCTATTTATTTTAATTCCAGAAAAACTTCCAGTTCCACAAAGATGAGTATATTTGGGATATTAAGCTACACATAATAGATTCACTACCTAAGGTATTTTTCCAATAAGTGCAATTTAATCTGAAACTTTTTGTCATTTAGTTACAGTCAGTTTATTAAATAGTGCAATTTTTTTAGGAGTTAAAAGAAAGTTTTAACTACGGAGTTTTCTGTCCACCCATCAATGGTAAAGCTGGAAAGTTTCTTGATGAACACAGACCTTTAGGAGACTATCCATTTCCTTCTTCAATAGGTTATGTAGAGGTAATTTTTTTAGTGATTTATTTATTATAAAAATTGCCTTGTTGTAATTTTATCGACCTCACATTGTGGACACTCCTACAAAATTTACACCTCTTATTACTGACATATTTTTAATTCCCTGTGAATCTTCTATGAATAAATCATTATGTACTTTCTCTTCAAAGCGTACACTTCCATAACCGAATGCAGTCAGTTAAGTTTAATTTTGTTTAGATCTAAAATTCTTGCTGGCTTAAATTTTAGTAAAATGCAATGTTGTGGTTTCAAAAAAATTTTTTTCATGCATTATTTGATCAGGGATACATTTATTAAACATTTTAAATTACCATAATAATATTTATAGCTATTTAGTATGTTTGAAAAATATTAAAAGATCATAATATTAATATGTTCATTAAAACTAAATAACAATGGTAGAGTTATTGTCTAAGCGTTGTGATCTCAGTTACTTTATAATTGAGGTTTTACTCTATTCCATTCTCATAAATTTATGTATATAGTTGTTAAAAGTTAGTTTTTCATTAATTTAATATTTAAAATTAAAGTGGAAGGTTTTAAAATTATGAAACAAACTTTTGTTCAGTGTAAATTTTCCTTGGTATATTCTTTTTATAAGAATTGCTCTGTTCATAAATTTGTTGATACTATTATATGAATTTTTGATTAATGTTATTAACTTTTCACAGCTGCGTTACAAAAGACGGGTGTACAAAATGATGAACGTTGAAGAGAAGCAAATAAAACAACTCCACACACGAGTAAATATTATATAATTTATTTATGTTTAAATGGTGTTTAGTAGAACTACTAATCTTCTAATTATTTTCACAAATGTTTCATAAAAGTGTATGCTTTATTTGGTAATTCCCTGCATATTTTATGATGCTTATTTAACTTTATAAAATTAAAAAAGAAAATAAATAAATAAAATAAAAAACTTTGGTTATATTTATCACTTTCTGACATGCATTTTTCATTCTTTAAAATATATCATTGATATTTCTAAATTAGTGCAAATTCAATCATTTAAATGATAGATCTTAGTTGATTACCAGTTTTCATGGCTAATTAAGAAGCCAATAATTTACAAGTACCATTCTGCATAAAAATGTTACATAATTGATTTAATTACATATTCTTAAACAATTATATATATTATCTCGAAGAAATGTAAAAATATTTTTAGAATTAAATTTGAATCTGATTATTTTAAATAATACATGACAATAGTTAATGAGAAATGCATACATTTAAAAATGACAGGAAAGGCTAACCAATATTGTTTCTATATAATTTGTAGTATAGATTTTAAATCACAAGCAAATTTTGTATACATTTGACATTTGTGATGGTTGTTTCATTAAAAAAGAAATTTAATTGTTAGAAAAATCTTAAGTGCATTTTAGTTGTTTATGTTGTTTATTATATATATATANTTTTTTTTTTTTTTTTTTTTTTTTTTTTTTTTTTTTTTTTTTTTTTTTTTTTTTTTTTGTTAATTTAAAGAAAAGTGCTTTAAACATAGAAATAATTACTCAGTTTTAAAGCAAAGGAGTGATAAACAAACTATTTATCTTTAGGCAATATAATAACGTACAGAAACATTTTAAGATTAAAAATGTTGTATGACTGCTGGTGGTCATACCTGAAGAAAATTGCATCCATATATGTAAATCTACGATTATTAAAAAAGTTATGGGAAATTATTATTTGTGTAACATAACAATTGTTTTATTATTTTAAAATGTAACAACTGAACTGGTTACATTATTTTTAATGTCAGAAGTAAATGTTTATCTTATTCCAAGTCAGTATTTGTATAAATTATAATAATGCTATTCTAATAATAGAAAAATTGAAATATGTTCACTCTTATTTTTAAGTTTTGTTTCTTTTTGTTAATTTTGCTTTAAAAAAACGATAAGGAAAATGTCATAAAATCAATTAAATCTATTCAAAACTGGACTACTTCTAAACATATTTGACAGGTATGTAAAAAACTTTTTATGCATAGGCTATGCCACTTAAACTGATTATTAAGTAATAAATTATTTATTACTAAATTCCTTTATTAAGACTGGCTAGCCAATTTTTAAATGTAATATTTATATTAAATTTTAAGTTCATTTTTCTGCCTTTGAAAAAGCAAAGTAAGATTTTTCTCTTTCTTTATTTAACAAACTCTTTCTTCATTAATTTCCTTTCAAAAAAATTTAAATCTATAGATAAAAGGTTGTAAATATAAGATTTCTCATAATTAGAAAATCTGTTAAATTTTCTTTCATGATTATTCAAATAATTTCATAGGTGAATTGTATTACTTTCTAAAGAATCATCTTTAATCTTTGATACATCTAACTGTTTCTTAAAATTTTCTAAGTTGACATTTATTAAAAATATTTTGTTTTAATAGTCAGTTTAATTTTTCATAATGTATTTCTGTAGCCCAACTTGCGACGAATGTTGGATCATGTAAGTAATGGTCAAGTGGAAAAGATAACTAAGATGTGTGCCAAGGGTATGGATCCCAATTTTCATTGCCCAGAAAATGGAGGTAAGAATGTCCTTATACTTTTCTAAATACTGGAATTATTTTTTCATGATTAATTTTTCTAGAAATACTATCTAGAAGTTATGTCAACATATATACGTTCTTATTTTTACAGTTTTGATTAGCTTGTAATTGCTTGTACGAATTAACTTTATCTTTAAGAGACTGGTTTTATAATTATTTCATATATATATATATATATATATTTATATGTGTATATNTATATATATATAAAATTTTTTGCTGATGCTTAAACCCATTATTATGAAAACGAAGAGAATAATTTTATAATATTCTAATTTTTTACTTTATCTAATTATCGAATTAACTTTATCTTTAAGAGACTGGTTTAATAATTATTTCATATATATATATTTTTAAATTTTTGCTGATGTTTAAACCCATTATTATGAAAACGAAGAGAATAATTCTGTAATATTCTAATTTTTATGGTCGCTTCAGGTTTAATTATAATAGTTCAGATTTCCATATCTGTAAATATCATTATTTATCGCTCAGCACCTATTTTTAGTTTATATCGAGTAAGAAAAGAAAAAAAAGACATGTTTATTTCTTTTTATGGCAATCATTTTAAGTGAAGGGAGTACACTTTCAAACTGTTCCAAAAATTGACTTTTGTTTTCTTTAGATTTTCTTGCGTAAAATGTTGCAATTTTAGTTAGAATTTTTGAAGGTGTTACTGTGACCAATATAGTGTTAAAATCACCACACAAAAATCTTTAAATTTCATTTATTAAGAAAGCATGCATTATAAGCTAATCTCATTGATGCCTTAGGTTATTTATCATATTTCCTTCTTCTTACAAGGTTATAGACTATTTGATTTGCTACAATTAATTGTATAAATTTTTTTTATATCCATGTTTTTCATTTTTACTTAAAATGTGGACTTCGGAATCCAAAAAAAATAATAATACCCAAGGTGTAAAGAAATCAATGCTACATTATAGTGATTTTCATTGTATATAATCATGAAAACAAAAAGTAATATGAATACATTTTTAAGGATTGATGAAAAGGGGTTTAAAAATATTCCCCAGGATAACCAAATTGAAGTTAGGAGATTCTCTCAGCTAATTTTATAGTTAACTTCTTCAAAACTTATAAAGTCCACAAATACTATTACATTAATTATATTTACATTTAATAAAATTTCAGGAAACACATTAAGGTATGTTTGTTTTGGCAAATTTTTAATATGCTGTATCCTTTTTAGATATATTTAACATTTTGAAAAAAGTCAGTTGAACATGAGAATTTCATAAAAACAGATATGAACACAAAATCAAGTCAATTTAATTTGAATATGTATGGTTAAATATACATAACTCTGCTGAAAATTGTTTTTTAATTAAGTAATGATTATAAGTTTTTTTTTCATGAGGAGTGATTACGATAAGAAATGTGCAACATATTTTCCATAATTTATGGTATTGAGGTTTCACCTTGTGAGTCTTTTGTTTAGCTCAAAGGATGCTGAAAAGATATTTCAAACACTCTATATAAACAATCTAGTAGTTTCCAGTCTCAATACTTGTTTTAATATCTCTTTTGTGATGCATAATAATTAAGTGAAAAGTTAAAAAAAGAAATGATAAAAATATTAGACACCTCAAAGTTTAAGCACAAAATCGCAACAACTTGCATATCAGTTATTCTCATTCTCCAGTATCTAATGTGCACTTTTGAAGTACAATGAATTGAGTTCTGTTAATTATTAAAATAAAGTGGGTGTGTTATTTCTACCAGAATTACCTTATCAAATATTGTATAAAAATCTTTCTTTGTTTTATGTACAATCCTCACATTTAAGGTAGGATATTAGTTTGTTGTTACTTGTTTCATGGGCACAAATTTTAGAATAATATAGATTTGGTATAATTATTTTCAGAAACACCTTTGACACTTGCTACAACTCTAAAGCAACCAGCTAAAGTTATAATGGCCTTGATAAATGGTGGAGCTTTACTTGATTTCCGAACCAAAGATGGCATGACAGCTTTGCATAAAGCTGTAGAAAGAAATAACTTAGAAGCATTAAAAGTTGGTTACTTTCTTGGAATTTTTAACAAAAAAAAAGATTTAAATTCCAAAGATATGTAAAAAGTGCTTGCTATATGTAATTATATTTACTTAATTTTTTAGACTTTGTTAGATTTAGGAGCATCTCCAAACTATAAAGAAAGCAAAGGGTTAACTCCACTGTATTATACATTATTACATGCTAGTGATCATCAGTTAACCGAAACTCTTTTGCATGATCATGCCTTTATTGGTACTTGTGACCCACAAGGATGGCAAGAAGTACATCAGGTATTTTATATTTTGAATTTTAACATCTTGTTTTTTTCTAATTTTCATGTTAACATTTTATTTTTGAGTTGACAAATATTATACGTGTTTTTGCTTGTCTTTGTTGTAAGGTGTTAGTTTTTACGAAGAAAGAAAAGTTTTATAAAACTTTTAATTTCATAATAATTACGTTCATTGAACTTCCATGATTAAGAATATACAAGTTAGCTCTATGTTGTCAGAATTATAGTGTTTAAAATTACGAATGCTTAGAGTATTAGTTATGTTATGTTTATAATTTTGGAGTGATTTTGTAATTTTGAGAAAGTCAAAGCTTTTACCAAACTGTTGAAGCAATTGTATGTGGTTTAGATAAATCTGTAACTTTTGCAGGTGATATATTCCATGTGGCATTAATGTAATTTATATTACCAGGCCTCTGACCAACATTTTGAGCATCTACTATTTTTTATTGGTCTTAAATGTATAACATTTGCGGAAACATTTAATATAAAAATAAAATTATGTAAAATGATTTTTGTTTATTGTTCTTGTATATTATGTACAATTTGGTACCCCTTCTTGCTGCTTTGAATAATGCTTGCAACCCTGTGCTCGTATGTGATTTTTTACTTTTTTGTATGCCTGTTTTTTTTGTTCACAATTATTTGAATACCATTGTATTTATGTCTATAAGTGATGAATTATTTTACTTAACTTTTTTACTAAATGTTTTTTATTACAGAAAATGTAATGTGAAAACATCTTTGGTAATTTTTTTTATATTTAGATGATAGAATTTATCTTAAAGTTTAATATATAAATGCTTTCTTATATTTAATGTGACTAAAAGGAAATTATTTTTCTTTTTTGAATTTTGCGACTCTTATTATTGCAATCTAACTCAGAAAATTGAATAATTTGCCCATAATATTTTATACTATCAGAACTTGGATTTTGGTGGTATTTCCACCTTTTCCTTTAAATGAAATTAAAAAAATTTTGATAATATTGTAACTCATAATATCCTTTAAATACCTTACTTTTTTCATATTACAAGAAAAATTATTTAAAGTAGTTTATTCAAATATGTTTTTAAATGAAGTTTTGACATTTTAATTGAGTTATACTTTTTTCCTCCATTAAATGCATTATATGTATTACCAAAAGAACTTTGTAATTTGTTTTGATGTCAACTAGTACTAAGAAAATGTTTATAAAAAACCCAGGCTTTAATTAAAATTTATTCCATCGAAATTTCTCTTCATACATTTTAATACTGTTAAATATAAATTTGAAAAAATAATATTGCTTATGGGAAATTATAATTTTAATTTTATGAGAATTTTTTGCTATTTTTATTTATTTTTTGCCTAAGTTGGCATTTTTATGTCTATTCCTGATTTACATTATCTAAAAATAACCAGCAACTACATTCATTGCTGCAATATCTTATTTTTCAGGCTTGCAAGCATGGATTGGTACAGCATTTGGAGCATTTACTTTTTTATGGAGCTGATATGAATGCACGTAATGCGAGTGGAAATACGCCTTTACATGTATGTGCTGTTAACGATCAAGAAAGTTGTGCAAGGGTACTTCTTTTTAGAGGTGCTGATAAAAATGCTCTTAATTACGCAAATCAAAATCCTTATCAAGTTGCTGTAATAGCTGGTAATCTCAACCTTGGCGAGCTTATTCGAAATCACAATCCAGATGATGTAGGTATGTATATATCTTTAGATGATGGATATATCTTTATAGGCTCTTAAGATAACTGGTCCTTTTATGGCAGTTTTTAAGTACAATGATTTTTTGAATTTTTTAAAATTTAACTTATGGGATTTCCTTTTTTTTCTGTTGAACTAGCATTTTTTTTTTATTATGCATAACATATTCCCTAATCTTGAGAGGGAAACATTTACATAATACATATATAAGTCAGTCATGAACATTCTACATTAGTATACTGTAACTCCTAGTATAACTTTAAACAAATTATGTTAAAAACTATTTACAAATCTGCAAAGGAGAGAACATGTTACAAATGAGCAACATGTTCTCTCCTTTCAGAATGAAACATTCACACTTTATACATCTATGAATCAGTCCTGAACATTCTGCATTGGAGTACAGTATTTCTTAGCGTAACTTTTAACAGATTATGTTGAAAACTTTTTGAAAATCAGCGTGACGCTTTATTTTTATTAGTTTTAAATTTAGTGCTTTTTTTATTCAAAGTTAAAAAAAAAGTTTTTTTTTTCTTCTTAAAAAAGCAAAAAACTGTGGGACCTTGACAAAAGACCTAAATGAATGATTCTGGTTTGGATATAGAGTCAATTTTCTGATTTCTCACACAGTGATAATGGTGCAGTTTTTTTTTTATATAATACGTAATAAAATTTTAGATTCAGTTATAATGTATATTTACAAGGAGAGTGAAAATTCCTCAAATATCAAAGGAATTGCTGAAATATTGCGTTTCACAGCTTAGCGCTCTCAACTAATGTATTTACCCAGCTTCAATTAGCTAAATGACTTTATAATGCCTTAACCATAATACTCTAACGGAGTGGGCCATGGCCATGTTTTTAATGCAGCCAATGCAGTTCAGTGACTTGACAATAAAATTGATTGGCATTTTGTCAGTTGAGTCATGGAATTCGGCTTAATTAGTTGTTCCTACTACAAATTTTCATCTAAGACTTTTTTTAAGTAAAAAATGTTTCTTTTGTTTGCACATTGGTTTATTAGCTCACAAAATTCACTGGACATTTATGAATGTGCTATTCTAAATTCACTTGATAATTATACCTGCATGCACATACATATATATTATGTGTATATACACATTAATAAAATTGTAGATTCATAAAGATGATAGCTGCTCATAAAGATGAGAGCTGCTTATGCCTATTATTTCAAACAATTTAGTGTAAAATTATTCTTATTGTTGCATAAAACATTTAACTTAAATTATTAAATCAGAATAATTACATGTATGTTTTTAAAATTTAGTGCCATACCGAGAAATGCCTAGATATAATCCTCGAAGGAGAGCCAGCATTGCACCAGTTTCTACACTAAGTCGAACTCATAGTGATCCACGTCTTGATTTGCATCTAGGCATGAAGCCACCATCACCCTGTCCATCTAACTGTTCTTTGCCACCTTTTTCTTCTATTTCATGCATATCTGATGCTTCTACTAATTCATCATCAACTTGCACACAGCCTAGTGGAGAAGACAGTGAAGATACTGCTTCTGGTAGTGTAATCACAGGTGTAGTAATATTTTGTGGTGAATGCTATTTGCTTGCATGATTTCTTTAAAAAAGAATTTTAATTAATTCATTCTTATTGGGGTTATATATAAAAAAGAAATACTTGTTTGAATAGTTTTGCTTTATGATAAAAACTGGCAAACTAACTTTTTCTAACATGCTTAATAATTAAATTTTGTTAGCTGCTGGACTAGATAACATTTTTGCTGATAACTTGAATTTTAATTATAAATGCTTGTTATAATACATATTTCTTCCTAACTGTGTAATATTACTTTACTATATAACACATATTAATAATATAATACATATTACTTCTAAATAATAGTATTTTTGGCCCTTGAAAGAAATGTATATTAAGATAAGTTTTACAATGCTAAAATAAGTAAAAAAAGTAGTTACTACTAAACTTCTGGAACCTTTTTACTTTGTAGAAATTCGTTTATTTTGTTGGTTTTGTGCAAAATAAAGGTTTTGTTTATCGAACTTCAATTTAACTATTTTGTTTATGAAGTTTATTTTTCCGAAAATCCCATTATAATTTCATATCAATTACAACTAAATCAGTTCACTTAAATTCAGACATATTTCATTTAAGTTATAGGGTTTTAGAATCAAGATAATTACCTTACTTATAAATGCATTTTTCATGCATTTCTAAAATAAAAGCTAGCAAGACAGATGAAAAGATGGTCTTAGATGGGAATAATTTGTGGGAATGTTATGCACAAGAAGTAGTAAGTAAAACTAGAAATACCTAAAATATACCATGGATTTTTTAACTTAAATCTTTGTTACTTAGAAACTAGTCATTAATCTCACATACTTTAAAATAAAATGTGCTTATTTTCACATTTCCTTTAAAGAGATTAGCACAGATTAAAGGAAGTACTTTTAAATTTTCATTAAACTATAGATAAGCAATGAAATATAACACTTTTACAATCATTGAGGATGTTAAAATGTTACAGTAATATCCTGACTATGGAAATCCAATCATTACAAATCATGTCTGACTTGGTAGCCTTAAAAGAATGTTTAGTTATGGACATAAATAACTTTAGTATGTTTTTGGAAAGTATAACCAAAATATTGAATAAAAATCATCAATTGCATATGCATAAAACTGAAAATGTAAATTAATACCTTTTTAATAAAAATAGTTTATAATTCACAATTTGAGCTACTTAATCTTAACACTTTTTCAGTCAATCCCGTGACAGCACGATATGAAATTCTTCCTACCAGTTTGTGTCGATAAAACAGATCAGGCGGTTGCGAGATGCATATTAGCTTCCTACTTTTTTGGAGAAAATATATTTTCTTCCAACAATGACATATTATTTATTGAAATAAATTTATTGTGAATTTTAAAAACTAAAATGGTTGCTAAAATAAAAAAGTTTAACTTTGATTTTATCTTTATCAATTACTGCTCTTCAGTGATAGATACAGCATAAAACTTTTAGTCATCTGTCACATCTTAAATATCACATACATAACGTTATTATTTTTTTAGAAAAATATAGCATTGCATTGTAGGCATTTTACATTGCAAGTTATTTTCTAATGATATTATCAATGAATGTAAAATATTTTGTCCTTAACTAATAAAGAAATTTCAAGCATTATAATATACTATATGAACTAATGAATAATGAACTTAATCACAAGATGAACCTGCAACAAAAATAAATGAATAACTGGTAGAATACTGGAAACGTTACATATAATTTGTTTAGAATATTGTTTAAAATGCTTTGGAGAAATGTGTTGGGGATTTTTGTTACAACTAGATTTAAAATGACATATTGTAAAAATATTTTGTTGAAAAATTTTTTTAAAAGATTCTGGAATATTTTTTAAAGGCTAAAGAGCAGTTTTTGAAAACGAGTAACAGATTCCATTCAATATTTATACTGCAATATAGTTTTTACACAAATTAGAAATATAGATAAAAGTGAGAGTTTTAAATTTCAAAATAATAACACGCAAAAGTACGCACTTTTTATGTGTAGTGAATTTAAAAATACTAACATGTGTGATTGCTATAAGATAGGACTTTTAATGGTCCCTAATATGAATTTGTGCCCTTGCATTGTACTGTTATTTCTTTAAACTATTTTTCGTTCAATAAATTATTAGTATTTTTTTCCCACAGAAAAAAGCATCACTAGTGACTCTTCAGGTGTATGTACTAGTAATAGTGGTGCAAGCTATGAATTTGGTCCAGATCACTATAATGATGCTTCTAGTTCTTTTCTTCCTGGGACTAATTGTGTGTGTATAGAAGACTATAGTTCCTTAACCCCTGGCCACCTGCAGCTAGTTACTGGTGAGACAGTGGAAGGTAAGCATTTAAAGAATATTTTTATAATTTTGTCTTTAAACTTTACCGTGGATAATGATTTCTAATGATGTAGATTCTGATCTGTTTTAAAGCAAGCCTTGCTTCAGACACCCCAGTTTTAATCTGCAACATCATGAAAAAAATATAACATTTCTTTGGAGAGTTTGTTAAAATATTTGTTTTCATATGTTCTACTTCATTGGTCTATAAGTTTTAAAATGATAAAATGTCCATGCAATACATGGTGAAATAACTGCTCTACTGTTTACTGAAAGTTTGAGTATTTTTAGCCTTAAAATATGAGGGACTATTTTTAGTCTTCAATCTGGATGATATAACCCTTATAGTTTCCTCATTGTTATTGCCCCTTAATGCTATTTTTATATTTTGCCATATTTCTGGCACTAGTAGAGCAAACCAAAACATCTTTGCACACATTTTAAAAACTTATTTACTTAACAATAATGTGATCTAAAAAAAATAATTTTTAGTTGTTACTTATTATTTTTTATTAGTGAATTCCATAATGATCATAAAAATTTTGATGTATAGAAGATTTTACATCTTTTTAAATTATGTTCTTTTAAATGACAATGCCTTTAAGGCCTTATAGATAAGTATAATGAAAATGAATGAGGAATAAAAATGAGTACATAAAAAATAAGCAAGAAATGCTATTATACCATTAAATGATATTTTATAGAAAATAAGTATAATGTTTTAATTTAATTAATTTTAAACATTAAATAACCAAATGTGTTCAAATTTTTGTTGTATAGATAGTAAATAATGTCAAAATCATTTTTCAGTTATTAGTGAGGCAGAAGATAGCCTTATTTTAGGACGAATAGATGGTGGTCAGGTTGGTCTTTTCCCTTCATCATGTGTTCAAGAAATAGCTCCTCGAATGTTTGATACTTTGCAGTCTCCTGCTTTTCCTCGAGTTGAGGGAAGAAGAGAAAGGTGTGCCAAACGTGTCAGTACCATTCCTAGAAGGTGGAAAACGTAAGAATTTTTCTTGTTACTTGTAATTTTAAACATTTTTAATTTGATTCTATAAACCCATTTATTTCATATGTAATAATAATACAGTAGTTGTTTCAAACCTCTATAGTATGTCAAAGAACCTTAAATTACAAATACTTCTCATCTGCTATATAACAAGAATATAGAGACCAAAGGAATTTGATAAATTAATCAGGGTGCTTGTTATACCCAAGTTCGATAAAATTATCTAAAATAGAGTGGTAATTATCAAAATAGATTCCTAAAAATTAACTAGAAAATGTTTAAAAATGAGTTATTTATTTCTTTTTTTTTTGTGTACCCCAAAAGGAAAATGTGTGAGCTTTGTTTATAATTAAGCTTGAAAGTTAGTGTCTTTCTTCTGCAATTGTTCAATGTACAATGTGTCGAAAAAGAAACAAACCACCCTGAACAACTTTTAATCTAATGATCAAATCTTCACATTCTAAGACTCTATCTTAATGATTTACCTACTCTAGGTAAATTGCATCTTTGAAGCAACTTTTAATTTTTGAGTATTTTTGTACCAAAGCTGTAAATTAATTTTTTGGTATTTTTTCATGCTATCAATTTTTTCTATTAGTATTACTTTTGGAAATATCTACCGTTTGTCCAGTATATGAAATATGCATTAAGGTACCATATATCTTTGTACAAAATGTAAATAGCTTTAAGTATTCTTTATCATATTTATTACAAACCTTAAGCTGTTTGAAAAACTACTGTCTACTGCAAAATATATTATGAGGGTTGTTCTATTTCCAATTTGCTTAATGTTATAGCATTTTTTGATCTGAATAATTTTTAACAGATTCGGTGAGCCCAGAACTGTTATTTTACACAAAGGAAAGAAAGGATTTGGCTTTGTTCTTAGGGGAGCTAAAGGTAAATGCAATTAACTTTTAATATATTTATATAATTTTTTAATTTCTATTTTATGTAGTTTTTAAATTTAAATTAATAATTATACAGCTTCAAGTCCTTTAATGGAAAGAGAGTCCAATGAAGTATGGCCTAGCCAATATTTAGAAGATGTAAATAAAGGAGGGGTTGCAGATTTGGCAGGACTTAAGAAGGGTGACTTCTTGTTGGAAGTAAGTAAAGTGTATAGTAAATTTGTAATGTACTTAACCTTTTTTAAAGTCTAAAAATCTGTGTTCTATCACAATTCGTGTAGTTATCTGCAATTCAGGTTGTCAAATAATATGTCTTTATTCTTGTCTTACCAGTTTGTACATTATAGTGTTATTTTTAATTAGCATTACATACTTTTGAATTATAGTAGTTGTCATAGCTGATGGACATGAAATTGTATATTTTAATTGATCTTTTTTCTTGTCTTACTAGTTTGAACAATATGGTGTTATTTTTCTCCTTTTTAATTCTGATAACTTACGTATGAAATTCAAAAATTTCTATATCTGATCTATGTAAAATTGTATTTTGTACATTTAACAAGTGAAAATTACGAATGTAGCAGAAATGTTTTGAAAGCTAACTTTTGTGTACCTATAAATTTGGAAAGTCTATTTTTATTTACTTAAAACTTAAATTTAAAATATGAATATAGACAAATAAAAACAAATGAACACAATTAATTTGTAAAAGTTAACATTTATTTTTTTATCTATCTTTTTTATTAAGTTAGCTTATCTATCTTTTTTATTGAGTTTTTATTGAGATAAAAGAAGCCAAAACAGCTTTATAGCTTAATTTTGAATTATTTTTTCAAACAACTTTTTTTTATTTTAATGATTTTTTTATAATAATGAACTACTGCTATTATGTGATCAAACGCGTAATTCTTCATTAAAATGCATTTATTATCAATTTCATGGTCAATCCTTTATCAAATATTTTTATAACTTCTATAAATATTTGGAAACAATCAGGAATGTATTTTATTTTATAGTCAGAAAATAAACTAGTTTTTATTAAGAGAAGAATTTTCATTTTATCAATTTTCTGAAATGCTGAATGGTATTGAAAGAAGAATATGCATTAAATTTTATTTTTGAAATGAAATTATTGCTTCAAAAACATCTGAAATGTTGCAAAAAGTTATTAAAAATGGTTTTAACAAAAACCATATTTAACGCAACAGTATTTAATTAGTACAAAAATTTTAAAGATGAGAGCGAATGTATTGAAAATGATCTACGATCTGGTAGACTATCCTTTTTGATTCATGATTAATATAGCTATATAAGTCAGAGAATTGATACTCTGTGATCATCTTTTGAAAATAAAAGACATTATTGAACAAATTACCATTCCATTTGATCCCTGTCTATCAATATTGAAAGATCATTTAAGGTTGTTTCAAGTTGTTCCTAGAGAGTTTTCCTTTTGAGTTCACCAAAAACAATGTGCTCAAGTGGCATATCGATGTTTTCACTAGGAAATTTCCTTTTTAAACATGTTATTACTGTTGTTTAAACTTAGACCTCTGTTTTTTACTCAGAAGCAGCTTAATTGAGGGAATGGTGCTTAAAATGGAAAAAAAAATACCAAAAATGCTACTAAGTCACTCAGAAATAAAGGTAATGTCAAATATTTTCTTAATGTCATGGGGTTGTGCATTATGATTTTCTATCAACTGGCCAGACAGTCAATAATGATTATTATTCAAGTATTTTTGGTGTTTGAATAGAGCAATTAATCAAAAAAGACCTGAAATGTGATGAGAAAACTCATGACTTTTGCACCATGATAATGTATCTTTTCACACTGAAGTTATTAGTCATCAACTTTTGGCAAAAAATTCCACAAAGACAGCCCCACAAGCACCATTTTATCTTGATATGACATTATGTAACTTTCTCTTATTCGCACTGATAAATTTGCTTCTTTGTTGTCATCGTTTTGAGTATATTAATTCAATAAAAATAAATTCGCTACATAATTTGAAGTGCAACTACAAAAATTATTTTAAGTTTTGATGATTGGAAAAAGCATTGAAAGAAGTGCATTGAAGATGGAGAAGGTTATTTTGAAGAAGATAAAGTATAATTCATCAATAAATTCATATCTTTTTTATGCTATTATTCCAAATACTTATTTATCATGGTAATATACTTTGAACTCAACTCACAGTTTTAGTTATCTTTTTTGAAAAAAAAAAGCATTATTTGCATTTAAAATTTTAAGCTCTTATTATTATATTAATATTGTAATTACTATTATGTTTTCCCCATCTTATGTGTTTTAACCATGCTTTTTAATTCAATTTTGGTTTTATTGCAATCAGAATTTTACAGATCTGTAGTTCCTTTGAAAGTAAAGGACACATAATATGTTTTCTTATGTTGCATTAAGGATTTCATTTTTTCTCCTCTTAGAAAACATTTGTATTGATGTTAACTATAGATATCTTTAATACTATATTAAATGCCAGTACATGAGTTCATTCTCTGGAGAAGGACAAGCAGGACAATGATATATGTTTGGAAGCTTCTGACCATTCCAATTGGTTTATCTTCACTGATACCAACATATAAATGAATAAAAAATAATGCATAAAAAAGCTTTTCTAGTTGATCTGCAATACGTTTGTCAGCTTTGATTATGTAGTGTGAGACAAAATTTTAAATTTAGTTAAAAAACACAACAATTGCTTGCATCGCTGTTATATGTCTAAAAAGAAGGCAGTTAATACACCTTTTTATGTACAACAGAAAGATTTCCCTTTTTTGCCTCTATTTATATTATTTTGAATAAGTGATATTTGCCTATAGCAAATTAAGTGAAAATCTGCTGAAATGAAATCATTAGTTAATTAGTGATCTTTATTAGAAAAAACTGAGAATTCTCTTTTTCAGCTATTGTATTCAAAGTTACCTTTCTGGTATGTCTAAAGAATGAAATTTTATTCTACTATTTTTCTCCATAAAAATGATTTTAATCAAATAAATTTAAAATCCAAATATTTTAATTATCTCAATCAGAACTTTTTTTTTACGGTTTATTTCATGACAGATTAAATGTTTTAATTTTAAACTGCTATAAAATTAGTCATGATTTCTGTACATTTTTTATAATTTAAAAATTGCTTTCTAGATTAATGGCCAAGATGTTTCTCAAGCTTCACATGAACATGTGGTTTCAATAATTCAACAATCTGGGAATCTGGTAGCTATGACTGTGGTTACATTGCCATCTGTTGGAACTCCGATTGAAAAGACTTCTATGATGTATCGGCAGTGTGCTACTCTTCCTCGTAAGCTTATTTGCAAAAAAGGTTTGTGATGTATTTTTTAACTATATCTTACTATTATTTTTCTTAGCTTAAATATGTATTATTGGCTATAATATAATGTTAAAACTAAATTATATAAATAAGTTGCTTTTTTATATTTTTCAATATTAAGAGTTATATAAGCTTTGTTATATTTTAAACCTGGAGATACATTTTATTTGCAGATCCATAATAAAAAATTGTTAACTAAATCTGACACAAAATATATTTAGTTAATGTTCAAAGATCAAGTACTGAATTAAAACTGCTGTTCTGTTTTGAGGAAAAGAAAGCGAAACATTTTAAATTATGCTTTAATCATCCATATATTTCATTTAAACATCTTATTATTATACACATTAAAAAAACTAATTGTAAATCACTTGAATCTCTATATTCTGTTTGATTGTATGTAAATTTTATGATACAATAGAATATGGTTTAATACAAAATCACATTTATCTGTAATTAATTTATGCTTATTACAGAAAATTAGATTATAAAACTAATTTGCTTAAAATGACAGCAATGACATCAAAAATTTGAAGCATGATTAACATGAATTGTCCTATTTTTTTCATAAAATTTTATTCAAATGAATAGAAAGGTTTTTTTTAACTCTTAACAAGATTCTATAGAAAAAGTCATTTTTATTATGATTTTTAAAATTTTCAAATAAACTGAAAAGTTAGTTTTGTTTATGCTATTCATTTTACTAATAAAATTAGTATCTAAATTAAATTTGTGATTTTTTATGCAAGAAGATAAAATGATTTTGTTACAAAAATTCAAGCGATGATTATTATGTTATTAAATATTTCTTAGGCATAAAAAAGGTTAATTTTAATAAATTGATAAAATATTAACGGCGGTAAATATTTCATGAAAATTGTAGTTTAATTAGATAATAAATTTTTTAGCTTTATTAGACGAACAATATGATACAGAGTAAGTTATTTCCCTCAAAACATTTGTACTTGCAAACTTGCAACTAATTTTATTTTCAAATAGATTTGAATTTTTAAGTTTAATGTTACTCTCTCACCAAAAACAATGTGCTCAAGTGGCATAATTTTTCAGTTATTAGTGAGGCAGAAGATAGCCTTATTTTAGGACGAATAGATGGTGGTCAGGTTGGTCTTTTCCCTTCATCATGTGTTCAAGAAATAGCTCCTCGAATGTTTGATACTTTGCAGTCTCCTGCTTTTCCTCGAGTTGAGGGAAGAAGAGAAAGGTGTGCCAAACGTGTCAGTACCATTCCTAGAAGGTGGAAAACGTAAGAATTTTTCTTGNGAGTATTGTTTTCTGTACTTCTTATCTGTCTTCTGTTTGTACTTCTTATTAATTTGTTGCTAAGAAAGATAACAAGATATATAATAAGTTAAGATATAATATAAGTTTTCTCAGATTTTTAAAAGCTGCAACTGTCTAATTAAGAATACTTATTTGACACTTATTAGTTGAAGTGACACGTTATCAGAATGATTTTGGTTTTTCAATAAAACATTATTAAAACGTGTTTGATAAGAAACCTCGAACTTAGATCAGAGTACAACTCGTTTGCTTTTTTGTTCAGAAAACTCGATATCTCTTTCCCTATGCTATTCAACAAAGAAACTTAGCTTGATAAGAAAATTTTAGTTCAAACTTACCCAAGCAGTGACTATCAAAGTGTTAATTCAACATGGGTTTTATAAATTATTTAATTTTTGATTCTAAATATAAAACTTTTTGTTTCTGATAATAAGTATTATTTTCCTTATTTTTAATTGTAATTGATGTTATTTTAATTTTAATTCCTTTTCTACGTCATTCCACGAAAAAGCTTTAGAAAATGAGAAAAGTTAATTTTGATTAGCAACTCTTGTTATTGATATTTAACTATATTTAAACTGAATATATTGCTATAAAGTGTAGAAAAGGAACATTTTAAAAATTTCAAACTGAGTACATTTTTAATTTTTATTTGTGAAGCATGTTAATGATTGTAAGTCCTAAAAATACACGTTTTGCAAATTATAAAAAGTATTTATGATCATAGTAAAACTTCGTATTCACTTTAATTAATTCAAAATTAAATTTGTCTTAGGGGAGAAAAAAAAATACTAGTTTTAAACTAAGTAAAAAAATATGTTATAAAATTGATAATGCATAATATTTTTTAGAAGATAAAACAATATTGTGAGGAGAAAGAAGTGCAAAAATAAGAATATGTATGTTAAACCTCTCTAGTTATCTATCACAATCATTCTGTTATTTTATGTAGACATAAAGTTTTATAATACAACTGTATCCTTATAAGTGATACATTCAAAAGGAAATACACTTGTATTAAAAATTATACTTTCATAACTTATTTACCATATTTTAGAGTACTTCTTCTATATCAAATTAGTTTATTGTTTTTAAAATGTTTATACTTTATCAACTTAATAATTTTTTTTTCATTTGCTTAGAGTCTCTTGATCGGACTTTGAATGACTATGACAATGAACTCAGATCTGCTAAAAGTAGCTCGGTTGAAAGCATTCCCAACAAAGCTGGAAAACTGTCTAATTCTCTCACTTCAAAAACTGCTTCAATTAAAGCACGACCAAGCTCACAAAGGGTTTCAGCTGTAGAACTTGAACAGTTCTTTGCTCGCCAAGGCTCAAAAAGACACATACGTAGCTATACTTTAAATAACAAATCACGAACTTCTAACCGTCCACCAAAAGTATATGGTAGTGTAGCTGAAATGAAACGATCAAAAGCTTCTCGATCAAAAATTACTGAAACTGTTATGAAAGTTGTTCACAAGGAGTTTTTCAGTACTCCAGATTTGAAAGCAGTGCAGAATAGTTCATTTTCTAGTAACCAAATTGGTGATAAACGGAGTCTTAGTCAAGAAGATCTTCATAATGTGCAAGGAAGCAGGCATTCCTGGGCTTGCTCACCTAATGGTTACAACAATTATCTTAGTTTATGTGATAGTCAAGACTACAGTTCAAACTATCGTGATGCTTGGAGATCTATTGAAGATATTTATGATAGCACTGTGCCTCTTGAAACAAAAGATGGGAGTTCAGACATTTATGCACAAACTTTGCCATTACCAAAGAGAGATCCTAACTTTAGAGCAAGTTGTCCACCTCCTTCGCACCCACCACCACCGCCACCTATGGGACAGGTAGTGAAAGTGGATGTATCTAAATCCTTAGGTGAATATGCAAATGTAAATATTATGGATGAGGAACCCGATTCCCAAGTAATGTCTAGTTTCCGTCCGGGAGACAGTGCCAAATTATATGCTTCACCTGAAATGGTTGTGAATGTGGGATATAAGTCTGAAACTGTAACTGTGACTAAAGATGTTTCAAAGCCTCATCGTGTTGGAGGAGGATCTAGTCTAAGGTCTCAATCGCTTCCACCAAAAATCCCTGTTAGTAAGTCAGATAAAGGAAGTACTACTTCATCTGAAGCAGAAAATAGTGGTGATTCTGGAGGTTTATATTCAACTTTTAAAAAGACTGGTAGACAAAGAGACTCAATGTCAACAGATAGTGGACATGTCTCTGATAGAGGTACCCCATGGTCTATAAAAGCAAAATCTACCACAACTAGTGCCTATTCTTCAAAATTTGATTTTGAGGATTCTGATGCAGGGAGTCCGCAAAATTATCCTACTGTTAAAACTCCCAGTCATGAGCCTTTTATTCCAGAGCCTGATTATGAAAGTAGTGAGGATGATTTCATTCCAACATCTCTCGACAAAGGGGCAACTCTTTCAACATTCGGAAAAGGAGACACTAATGTCCAAGAAGATAAAGATTCTTTACAAGTTGAGGATATATCTACACACGAAGAAGGGTCAGAAACGTGTGTTCCGCCAAGTCCCCACACAGAAGCCAAACGTGCCATACAAGAGGCAAGAGAGCGTTTGCGTTTCTCTCAAAAACCCATTGACAAAAATGCCACAGTTGTTTTTATAAGTGGAAAAATTACTGAACATAAAGTTGAGAAAAGTGAAATTCAACTACATAGAACTGAAGAGGGTCGATTAACTGGTACTGTTGTTATATCCACAACAAATGAACCTCAAGAACCTGTTTATTTATCTTCCTCAATATTAAAAAATTTTGAAAATGAAAAGGGTGTTGTTCCTCGCTATCCTAGCCGTGATGCTCCCGCATCTGAGTATGCCAAGTTTCGTCAGCAGATTTTAAGTGGCATGAATCAGCCAATAACTATTGTCGAATCACAATCTACAGAATTCAATGGTGCTACACAAAGTGAAAGCGTAAACGATGAATCAGATGCTTTTAAGCTATCTGATTCAGCAGAGAAGAAGAAAGAAATTAAACCAAACATTATTGATGGACTTAAAATAACATTGACAGGGTCTCAAAAGTGTCCTTCAAACAATAAAGAATCTACTTTAATGAAGAAGCCACCTGAAATAAATTATCTTCATCCTAAAGATGCTAGTTCTGAACAGATTTTTGAAAGCAATTCGAGTGATGTCCCATCTGATGCAGATAACCAAAATGAACAGATTGGTGTTTCTAGTTCCACAGATGATGATAGCAAAGCTGAAACTGTTGTTCAGGCGCCAAGTTTTGGAGACAAAAAAGAAGAATCTAGCCCAAGAATTGATATTAAAGCTTCTACCCTAAGAATTGACAATAAAGCTTCTAGCCCAAGAATCGATAATAAAACTTCTAGCCCAAGAATTGATAATAAAACTTCCAGCCAGAGAATTGATAATAAAGCTTCTAGCCCAAGAATTGATCATAAAGCTTCTAAAATCAAATCTCATAGGGAAAATAAGGATCAGTTTTATATGTCTCATCAAAATGAACCGTCAAATGAGAGAAACATGAAAGACAATATTGCTTTAATAGCTAGTGAATTACAAAGGACTCTGGGGAGTTCAGAATACAAAAGCAGGAATATCCGAGAAAAATCTCATCACTCGGAATCGACAAAAAGTGCAATACAAAGTGATAGGAGAAGTGATAGAAGGCCAACATCTCATTCTTCTCCATCAAACAGAATCACATCTGAAAAAAGGCATAAGCCTAGCTCAACTGAAGCCAGTCTTGAAGAAAGTCTAGAGGTTCTGAGATTGCAAGTAAATTCACTTGGTTTATCTTCTATTAATGAAGTTGATGTGTTTACCGAATTAGTTCCTCCACCACCAGAGTTTGCTGCTTCAATGGAGGCAGCAGTTTCAAAAAAAGAATCTTACTCATCTTCAGAAATAGCGATTGCTCCACCTCCTGAGTTTTCTGACAATTCTCCACGTTCAAGAAATAAAAGCTCCCATCGAGTTTCATCAAATACTCACCAGAGAAGGAATCACCCCATAAGTTGTCATTTAAATACATCTGCAAATGCTGTTGACTTAGCATTTTTAGCTTCTCTGCAAAATAAATCTCCAAACATAATGCAAATGATAAGAGGAGATAGAAAAACCCATGTTAGTAGCAGTAGTGGAAGTGTAAATGTTCATCTACCATGTACAAGTGACCTACGATATTTACAGCCCAATATATCTGATCGATCTGCGTATCGTGACAGTTCAAGTGGTGATGTAACTCGTTTAAAATCTGTACAGAAAGAGTTCCGCTTTAAATTATTGCAAGAATGGACTTCTAATGATATAGCAGACTGGTTAGACAGTTTATTTCTACCCGAATATAAGCAGCGGTTTTCTGAAGCTGGTATTACTGGAGCTAAATTAGCAAATATGGACAGCAATGACCTGATGGGGCTAGGTGTTAAACAAATGGGTCATAGATTAAATATGGAAAGATCTTTAAAAAGGTATTTAAAATAAATAGGGTATTTAGTATATTCAGAGTAGCTATGACTTTAGCTGAATTCAGCTGTCAAAATCAAACGAATATTAAATAGTTTTGTGATCATTAAAATCTATGTAGTGTTTTTCTCTTAATATTGTTCCAAAAGCTGAAATTTCTTAAATTCATTTTTATATTTCCCTCAAAGCAAAGATCTAGTTGCATGTTTTGGAAATATTTTAACTTAGAGAAGTTTTGTTTGAACTAAATCAGCTTGAACAAATGTAGAGAGTAATAAATACTATATTTATTGAAAGAGTCATATATGAAAGGGCCCTTATTGTACAGTTATTATATATAAAACACATTATTTTGAAAATTGTAATTAAGTGTTATAGTGCATATATTTAGATCATTCACCCTTTTAAAATGATTCATATGTAGATAAAAAAAAATATTATTGAATGAATTTCAATGTTGCCAGCTGCATATTTTAATTTGTATAAAGTATTTATTATTCTGTGTTGTTGAATTCTATTCTTTATTTTTCATTGCTCACCAAGTCAGTAAATAAAAACATGAGAAATACTGTCACTATTTAATTTATCTAAAAACTAAAATTCACTTTATATATAAATATTCTAATATAAAATGTTGCTATACACATGACTTATGTTCAGTGCTCAAACATAGAATAGAGATGTCTAGGTTGACATAACTTCACGTATATGCCTACAGAAATTTCATAAATTGTCAATCATTTAATAGCAGCAATGAAGTGGGGGGCATTTTATTTCAAAGTGAAATAGTAAAAACAACTTCTTGTCATTGCCACCACAATATTACAAAGACTGATTGAATAATAATAGTCAAGTGATACAGTTCAGACTCTGGCTTGGATATCTCTATAAGAAAAGTTTCTTCGTTTTGATATTGATGACTATGTCAAAACATGTGTTTTAAAAATAAATTATGACTTTTTTTTATAGAGATATCTAACTTAAGAGGCTCCTCTAGGTCAGGTTGCCCTCCAGCAGTTCGCCAATTGTGTCTTTAAGTTGTAAATGGTGCTAATGCATTTTCCTCCTTCACTCTTGTTAATATTAACTACTAAATTATCAATTGATGCACAATTGAGGGTAACTAAGATAGCTTCAAATGATGTCACCTTGAACATTTCTATTATTTTTATTTGTCTATCACCTGTTATTTTGTTAGCAATTCTTTCATTAATAACTTTATCAATAAATGAAGTACAAAGTTAGAGAGTTTCCTAAGGGGGAGGGGGGAGATAATTTAATGAATTTCAGGTATCAGCTTTAAACTGTATCTGGAAGTTATTTAAAAAAAAAAAACATTTTATACTGAGAACTCATTTGGACTTTTAATACTTACAGCTCACCACACCGTATTCTTTCATCATGGTTGATGTTGTAGTTCATTAACGTCGCACTAGAGCTGCACAATGGGCTATTGGCGATGGTCTGGGAAACATCCCTGAGGATGATCTGAAGACATGCCATCACAATTTTGATCCTCTGTAGAGAGGATGGCACCCCCGCTCGGTAGCCCAATGACCTGCACACGAAGTTGAGCACTTTACGGTAGCACAGTTTAACGAGGACCAATACCACACACCCTCGGTCCCTACGCAGACTGATCCAAGTGGTCACCCACCCACAAACTGACCGCAGCCAGTGATGCTTGACTTCGGTGATCTGCTGGGAACCGTGTCTTAATGATCAGTCCACTGCGGGACTCTTTCATCATGGGAATTTAGTTTTTTAGTGCCATTTTAACAAATTTCAAATGACACTTAGCATGTCTGCCTGCTTAGCTTAACAAAATATAGCACAATGTTTAAGAAAAATCTTGCTACTAATTATTTCTTTTACAATATTTTTACTGTGAATAACTTAATAAGCTAGTATGAATAACTTAATAAAACCCCATACCGTGGAAGAAAATTTTCCTCCCAAATTCTCTTTCACCTTTTCTTTAATTTAAAATTTAAAAAGTGTGGAAAAAGAGATGTCAGACTAACCTAGAGTAAACCACGAAGTTTCAAATACTGAAAAAAAAATTTTAAAATATACAATTGAAAATAAATTATGACATGATAACTTAGAATTACGCGGCGGCGAAGTGCTCTTCTAATAATGTGTCTGTATTTTAATATTTTGAAGTGTTTTTTTCAGCAATTGAAACTTCCTGACTTACTCTAAGTTTGCCTGAACTTACTTTTTCTACACTTTTAATTTTAAATTAGTAATGAAGGAGAAAGAGAATTTGTGACAAAAATTTTCTTCCGCTGTATGGCGTCCTCTTAAATTGCATTCTTCAGATTTGCCAAATCTACTTAATGTAAGTCAATTGATTAGAATTTTTAATTAACTTATGTAATTAAGTCTCTTTTAATGAACTGCTCAATACACAGCTATTTCATTCACCAATATATTCAGTTTATGGAGTAATTCGACGATTTTTTTCAAATTTTACCCTCAAATGTGTACTCCTTGCAAAATCATCACATATAATTTATTTGCTGGAGAGGCTGCAATTTCAAGCTATATAATGCTAATTTTGTGTTACCATTTTCAGTTTTATCGCTATAACTCAAAATGCAAAATAATTTTGCAGAAATTATCGTGAAACTAAAGTATGGGCACCACTTTTTAGCCTATCATAATTTCATTATTATTTAGTGTTGTGTCGTAATAACTTAGGTATGTTTGGCTAAGTTTCAACAATGCAATTTATCAGATGTAAAGCTGATTAGATCAAAAATTGTTCAGCGTGATTAATTTTTCATATCCAGATATTATCATCGTGATCAGAATAATCAATACCATTAATTTTTAACAAAAGGATTCGAAAAATCTGTTACGATGTCTGAGTTTGCAAACACTATTTCTGTTAAACAATATTAAAATATGTTTGGAAGATATACAGCTAATGATTTTATTCATGAATTAAACCAGTCTTCATTTTGACACAATGTTTGTTCGACAAAAATTGTATTGCTATATTACGAGATCAGTTGCTGTGACTCCCAATACCTGGGGAAAAAGGTGTATTTGTAATTTTGGAGTGATTAATTTTTCACACCCAGATATAATAATCGTGATCAGAATAATATATCTATAGCATTAATTTTTATCAAAGATTCGAAAAATCTATAACAATGTTTGATTACGCAAACACATTTTCTGTGCTTTGCTAAATAAATACAAATTTAAAAAAGTTTGAAGCAAAAATAAAAGATATGTAGCTAATGATTTTATTCGTGTTTTAAACCAGTTTTCGTTTTGACACAATGTTTGTTCGACAAAAACTGTGTTGCTATTACAAGATAAGTTGCTGTGACTCCCAATACCTACAAACATAAAAAAAAGAACAAAAGGCATATATAAGTAATTTTGGTTTTAAGACAATACAAGAATTTTATGTGTTAATAACAATTACATATGCAACCATTTCATGATATATATACAGTTTGAAATCAGTAGAAATGTAAATTAATGAGATAAAATTGAAAAAAGTCTTACATAGTTAAATCATGTTGGCAAAGTTTTACATGAGTGACAATCATTTACTGAATTTATGAGGATGGAATGTGTTCCTTTTTTTATTCTTGAGAAATATATATACTAAAAAAATGCATTCCCTTGAAATTTTTTGAATAATAATTACAAAAACATACATTTTTACCACCTAATATGCACATATAGAAGTAATTTTTGTAAGTTCTAAAATTCGACTTAGCATCTTTTTAGGCAGTATTTCCCTAACTTATGCAATTTATCAATATGACAATTGTGTACCTTTTCTAAATTTTTCATAACGCTGTATACCACTAATAAGAAAATTAACGTATTTTTTACTATAAAAAAATTGCACAAAAGTTAAAAATCACAATTGGCTGTTAAAAGTTAAAAACCACTATTAACTCTTCAAAAAATAGCCTATAGAAAAATCGTAAATTTTCATGGCTAGCTTTATATTTAAATAAAATTTTTGAACTTTTCGTTTGTTGCAAGATATTTCGCATAAGAAAGCGTACCACCGCTAAACTGTTCCCGTACCCCTGGGGGTATGCGTACCACCCTTTGGGAAGCACTGTCTTGGTGGTCTTAAAGTCCTATACCTGTAATGTTAAAAATCGCCGAACAGTTTCACAGATTAAATAGCGTACTAAGCAGGGCCGGATTAAGTGCACGTAGGGCCCTAGAGCATTCAAATTTTTGGGGCCCTTAGATTAAATTTTTTTTCTCGTATGTATTTTATTTATTCAAATATGAATGCTTTTATAAATCTTTTCATTTAAGAAATCATATTTCAAATAAAAATAAATAATAATAAATTAAATTTTACATTATTTTACTAAATTAGAACTAAAAAATAATCGTAACATTTTGAAAAATCATTATTTTGCTTCATTTTTTAAAATTTATTTTCAAAAAATTCTAGTTTATCCTAATGGATAATTCGGCCCTGGTACTAAGTGTCAAGTAATTTTTCACGACTTGTTAGCCATAACCTAAAATGATAATTTTTGGAAAATTAAATTTTGAATTTTAATTTAAAAGCATAGAAAGGTTTTGTGCATTTGATTTTGTAGTTCTGTTTCTGGAAATCAGATGGCGCTACTATGCCACAAAAAGTATGTGTTTACTGATTGCGAGAACAATTTGCGAAAGAAAGCATAAGATACATATTTATATTCTCAATAATTGTAGATTCTTTTTGTTTTAGCTATTAATACAGATTGTTATCTTTATTCCAAAAGCAGTTCTAAAATATTCTAATCAATATTTAATTTGTGAAACTGTTCGGAAGAATAGTCACTACGTTATAATTTTACCTACATCGAAAAACAGAATATTTCATTTTTTTCGTTGTTTACGAACGCGCATGAAAAAGAGTTATTCAGGATTTAGCGACTAGCATCGGCAGTTTTAATGTTTACATTGATAGCGCCTAATTTCCACTTATATTTGTTTCTGTACATTTCCCAAATTCAAAATAAACGTGAAAGGTGAAACAAATAAAAATCGTTGCAAATCTAGAAGCGAAGGTGTTAAAGCATCGTATTTCTAATGTTAAAAGTGTTGAAACTTGATGAGATTCCTGGCAAATGTCTCAAAAGAATATTATCAGCTAGTTGGTTTTACTAATATTTATACTCACATTACCGAAATATTTCTATCAAAATCGTTATATTTTCTAAACGAATAAGAGCTCAATATTTTATTTCTTTCTCAAAAATCGAAACTTTAAAAATTGTATTTAATGTGGGTACATTCACAAAAAATCAATTTCAATCTTGCATGAATTGGAAATTATTATTATCAACTAAAATCATTGATCCCTGTGAATTAATAACCTATTATTAATAAATAATTTTTTATTAAAAAATATAGCGATTAAAGTGCTAAATTCACTTTTTGTGTATAAGTGTTGATAGCACCTTCATCTGAATTTCTCAAAAGAATTT